CTCGAGGTCGAGGTGCTGCTAAACATCCTACAGGGCCCAGGACAGCCCCCTGCTCTGGAGAATGACCCGTCCCAACATGTCCATAGTCTGGGATGGAGAAGCCCTGCACAGGGCCTCCAAGTCCTCCTCCCAGCTACAGCCTGTGAGGGGATAGAGATGTGCCCACTTCTAAGTCCCTTGCCCAGTCCCATCTCATTTTGCCCAGGGGAGAAGTAGGCATCAGGCTCCTCCTGGGTATAAACCATGAAACTAAGTAAACATTTTCATCTCTTTTTATGAAATTCCTTGACAATCTATGGCCAGTGCTTCGAGGCGGCCAGTGGGACGGTGCCTGGACCCCGAATGTGTACCAGTTGCAAGCAGGGTCTTAGAGACTACCCCTTCTTGGGTTCTCACCCAGAACCTGTCCTCTTGCCCTTTCTCAGTAGAACTTCTTATCCCCTTTGGGGTGAGCATACCCAGCCTGGTCTCCCAACCCCTTCGTGTTATTTCACTCACACTCGAGGAACTCACCCTAACTTCAGGCCCACTGATGGGGGCCTAGCCTGTTACCTTGGAGCTGGAGAGAAGGGGTGGGGGGCCCTGTGTTTTCTCAAGCCCATGCAGGTGTGTGGCTGTGTTTCAGGTCTACCCCACGGCGACGCGCGCACTGGGCCTGGGTACCTGCAGTGGCATGGCCAGAGTAGGTGCGCTCATCACTCCGTTCATTGCCCAGGTAGGTGCCACCCCCAAACATGGAGGGGGTGACCATGATAAAAGCCAGTGTATGGTAAGCAGTGACTCTCTGCTGAGCCTTCCACCAAGTCCTCTTATTTGAGCCTGATGACCCATCCTATGAAAGAAATAGCTTCACACGCAATAGTATTACTTGCAGGCTTAGAAGGGTGAAGGGACTTGCCCAAGGTCACACATCTGGAAGCAGAGAAGCTGGTAATCAAACCCAAGTCTTTCCTGTGTAGAAGGCCACGGGGGTACCATATGACTTGGCCAAAACTGATTTGGATGGAAACAGATAGGCCAACATGATTTAGTGGAACGCAAACGCCCTAGCCCCTGGTTTCTGAATTGGATAATTAGGGGTTGTTGCAAAATTTTGCAATTCTTTGTGTGTCTTGAAGCATTTCTATTTTTAGAGGCAGGAGAGGTATTGCTGTATCAGTTCCAGAACATTTTCATCTCCCCCAAAAGAACTCCACCTCCATTACTCCCTCCCCCATCCCTAGAAAACTTCAACCGGATTCTGTCTGTGTGCATTTACTGCTTATTGGTAGTTTGTATAAAAAGAATTCCAACACATGTTTAAACAAAGTATTTCTGCCCTGTGCGTTCCTGTTTGGCCGTTGTATATTGCTACTAATACTGGTTGAGAGCTGACCATGTGCCTGCATGGTGCCAAGTATTCCTGAGAAATCCTCTCTGCCCTGTGCCCATTCACAGAGGAGGAAATGAGGTTCAGCATTGCTGTCTGATCTGTCCAGGCAATAAAGCCAGGAAATCAGCAGAGAAACTGCTCTAGGAAAATCCAGCCCCTTGAGCCTGATTCCTTATCTGTCTGAACTTGGGCATGTTACTTAATCCTCTTTAAGCCCCCATTTTTCCATCTGTAAAATGGGGACAAAGCATCTCGCTTCTAGAGCTGTCAAGAGGACTAAGCATCTCACGTTGCAAACAAAAGGGGCTCACGTTCTTGGCATTACCCAGCTGGTGGGGGTACCTGTGCTCCAGAAGGGCGGCTCTCACCTGCATGTGTCTCCCTCCCCAGGTGATGCTGGAATCCTCTGTGTACCTGTCGCTGGCAGTTTACAGTGGCTGCTGCCTCCTGGCGGCTGTGGCCTCCTGCTTTTTGCCCATAGAGACCAAAGGCCGCGGCCTGCAGGAGTCCAGCCACCGGGAGTGGGGCCAGGAGATGGTCGGCCGAGGCACGCACGGCGCCGGCGTCACCAGGTCGAACTCGGGCTCTCAAGAGTAGTGACCAGTGAGGGCAGAACTGGTCTTTGAGGCTGTAGAGCGCGGGGAGCTGGTGGAAGCCCAGCCGGGGCACCGACGTCACTGCCGACACCCAGAACTCACCCAAGGGTGCAACTGGATCAACAGGGTTTTGTGTCGTGACTCTGTTTGCTCATATTCATCGAGATCCACCCGGAGAGGGGGAGGTGTTTGCTCCGGGGGGTTCTTTCTATGTGGGGGGAGGTTTGTTCATAACCTGGGGTTCTGCATGGGAAAACTGCCACATTAGGAGTGTCTGGTGACCGGTCGCCAACCGGATGCCACCCAGAGATAGCGGCCACACCCTCCATGAATGACCACCAAAAGATCTGTGTAGATACTGTCCAGACCCAGACCCCTGCAAGTGGGCGCCTGACCCCCAGCTCCGGACCTCTTCAGAAGGTGCCTCCCATGGCTCCAGCCCAGGCTTTGAAATTGTGGGTGACCCAGGTATGGCCTAAAGAGTTTTTCCTTGGGCCTAAGAGATGCTTGCAAAAGAGGCCCCTTGGTTTGCCTCCCCAGGACCTAACTAGTGGAGACTGGCAGGTGGACATACATTTGAACTTGAGCCACATGCCCCCCAACCTCCTATAAAGCTGCTGTCCCTAGTTGCAGGGGATCCAGATGTATCCATGATGAGAGCTGGGTTTGCACCAGATGATACCTTCAGGACGCTGTTACCCCTGGGGACTGAGGCAGAAGGGAGGTGAGAACCAAGCTCAGCGCCAAAGCGGGGTCTCCCCTGTGGAAGCAGTAAAGGCCCCACTGGGGCTTCTTTTCTGGCCCCTCCTAGGTCAGGCTGACGGGCGACTCTCTGGGAAAGAACACAGTTAACTCAGGGTTTCCGTTCAGTGTTTGGTGCGTTGTGGATTTTGCACGTGGGTAGGTGGCTAACGGGGCAGAGAAAACAAGAGGACGTAATGTGAACCACCACCTCCTGCGGCGTCAGGGAGCGGGGACCCTGCCTCCCCGATTTCTCTGACACACTTGCTGTCAGGGGCAGGCTGGGTCTTTACACAGAGGCAGCTCCAGGGGCTTCTACTCAGGACCCCATGGCAGGAGCATCGCAGGGTGGGCCGGAATGGGAGGGCCCAGACGTGTGACCTGTGTCCATTTTCAAAGGAGGAGAAAGGAGGTCAGTGGGTTTGGGGTTGGCCTCTGTAAGAAGGGCTGGCGCTACGACCTCACAGGCAACTTCCACCTCAGGATTTGGTTTACACGAAGCCTCTTTCCCATCATGAAGGCAGGAGCCTAGAGAGGAAGAAGGAAGCTGCCAGGTCCCTTCAAAGGCCAGAGAAGACTGACCCTCTGCTTGAAGCAAACTTTTTCAGGAAGCCAAATGTGTATGTTCATCTCTTATTAAACATGTTGGTGATGGACATTGCAAGGTTGAAGTAAGTTCGTTTGTCATAACATCTGTGAGAGTTCGCGTAACGGCCAACACTGTTCATGGGGTCATCTCGATGCTGGATTCTGCGTTAATTTGATCACCTTCCCAACATGGGGAGAAAGTCGCGCAGCTGACCGCCAGCACTGTGAGTTTGAGTCTGTTGGCAGCACTTTTTGCTTATGGCATTGAGGTCCCTGCTTCTATGTGACTTCTTCAGCTTCAAGTTCTAGGTCAATGGTAGATAGACCCACATCCCTGAAATATGGGCTACAGCCCCCCTGAGCCAGGCAATCAGAGAGGAAGTGGCATGGTAGATCTGTTTTTCCTGGACACCAGCCTTTCCTTGAACCCAGAGTGGCTATCCCCTTCATTATTTCTGGGCTGCTAAACGCTCCTGGGTGACACAGAACCTTTGCTGTCTTTTTTGCCTTCCAGCTGGTCAGACACTGCTGGGTGAGCAAATCTACTCCTGCACCCTCAAATAATGGGGAGGAGTATCTGATGGGCAGGAATGTTTCCCAGGAGCTCAAGGGGCTTGCAGCTGAGGGTTTTTCTTCTTGAGAAAATAAAAGTTAAAAATTCTTTGCCTTCTAAATTGCCTGCCCTTTAAAGAGAATCAATATTATTGAATGATACAAGAGCTGCCCCAAGAGTTGGCCAAGCCTTTGAAATACGTGGGGACTTTCCTTGGAGACAGTTGTAGCTAATTTTGAACTTCCCCAAAGCTCCTGTTCCCATTAATGGGAATGTCATCTGTTTCCCTCAGTGTTAGGGAAGATTTCAGAAAATGGCAGAAGACATTCAGTGTAGTCTGGGTAGTATGTGTTCCCTAACTTCAAATATGCTCAGGAACACATAAATGACATGTGTTGAAAATGAGATGAAAGAGGATCTTCAAGTTTGATATTGAAATGAATATGGCTCTTTATTCTTTGTAAACAATGTTGAGCACCAGAGAGCCTTAAAGGATGGAGATCAAGTGTCTCCCTTGGTTATTACTAATAAACATCAAAGGATAGGGCTACTTTGAGCCACAAGCAATAGTAAAACCAGTGCATAGTTGCTTAAACCATTAGAGTATTAATTATTCATTTAACAAGAAGTTCAGAGTCAGATAGTTCCAGGGAGGGTAAGTAGCTCAATGATGTCATCAAGGACCCAACTACTTTTGCCTTTCCTCTCTAGCATCCTCTGCATGTTGGCTATTTGACCTTATGTGTGAAACCTCACAGTCACAAAATGGCTACCCATTTGCCAGCCATCACATTTATTTCCAAGGCTTAGAATGAAGAAGGAGTAGTCACAAAAATGTTTTCTTTCTATTGTTTTGAGTTGGACGGGGAAGTTCTTCAGCACATTGACCTTGATGACAAGGTCATTGGCCAGACCTGGGTCACATGCCCATCCCAGCCTGAGTCCTTCTCTAGGGCTGATGAAGGAAGGACATCCCCCAGGATGAAGGGATACCCACAGCCTCTTGAACACAAAACTGGCATTCTATTACCACATAAAAAGGAAGTCGATGGCGGTCAGATGAGGGGTAGCTGAGAGGAGCCTGCCTCACAGTTCTCAGGCTGTTCTAGTTGCAAGGAACAGAAATTATACTCAGGCGAATTCAGGTGAAGATGTGCAGCTTTATTATAAGAGGGATTGGTAGTTCATTTCCTACAGGGGATGGCCAGGGAGCGTGAGTGAGTGAACCAGAGCGGGAAGAGGAGGGGGTGGGGGATAGGGGCGCGGTGGAGGCGGGGGGAACACAAGCCCAGTCCCAGGTGGACGACGGCTACTCAGCTCTGAATAACTTGGTTGTATCATGGATGCTCCTGATTCTCAAGACAGGAATTTGGATTTTTTTTTTAAGTGAAAGCTCCAAATTTTAGTATGTTAGATCAAAATATTTTAGACATTCTATCCATTCCTAGCTGCTTACCTCATACTACGGTCTGCGCCTTGTTCTCCAAACCTAACTACTCATGACGGGGGGTGGGGGGGTGGAGGGATGAGGATTCAATGAATAATGTGCATAAGTTTTGCATAGAGCCTGGTACCCAGCCTGAATGCTACAAATGCTACGTCTACTTATTATTAAATGCTATTATTATTAGGACAAGAACTCTCTACCTTAGATCTTGGCTCTCTCACCCTGCTTAGCTTAGGGCTGGCCAAATTCAGGGCACATGCCTCATGAAGAAACCCTCAGGTGAACTGGCACAGGGAGGAGCAGACAGCTGTGGCTTGGACAGCACTTAGTGCTCTGGCCCCACAAACAAAGACTTCTGGTCTTTCACAGAGGCTGACAGGTAATAGGGATGAAGCTGTTCAGGTGACTTCTAGATCATTTAAGGCTTTCAAAACACCTGGGGGCCTGTTTGCATCTCAGGGGCTACCAACCAGGAGATAAGGAGGGGGGTTAAATCAGCCCCTGCCCCCAGCACAGAATATGCTTGGTGAGTTTATTCTCTACACAGAGGTTCCTTGTGGGATGGTCCCCGCAGTGGCTCCTTCTCAAGGGTCCCCCGGTGCCCGGGGGGCCACTCAAGTGGGCAGCTGATGCCATTTGGAATCCTGGACATGAAAATGGCATCAGATGTTCCTCACCTCTTCTGTGCCCTGCACACTCTAGCTCTACGTGAAGTAGAGCTATTTCTGCAGTGAAATCTGTTCCAGTCTTCGCGGCACTGGAGCTCTAATGGGCTTAGGAAGGCGTTAAACAAGGTCAGATCTGCATCCTGCAGTGGGACTTTTTAGACCCTTTCATATATAGGTGTGACTTCAATGATCTTCAGTTTTCTGCTGCCCCCTCTGATTTTCTGAGCTTTCCTTTCTTCTGAAGACTCACGGAATGACAGCCGTTCAGGTCAGGCCCACACAGGATGGGGCCTCAGCCCTCAGAGGGGACCCTAGCTGGGACTGGATTCAACCTTGCAGATTTGTCCACAGGAACTGACCTTGTGGTTTCCTCTCACCTCATGCTTTTTGTGGGAAGGAGCCAGGGGTGGGGTGGGGAGCAAGCATGGTTTATAGGGGAGCACACTAATTCATTGGCGAGGACAGCAGGGAGTCTGTATGGAGGAGGTGCAGGCCACTGGCATCATCAGAGGTGGGACGGAGGCATCCTGAGCAACTTCCTTTCTTCCAGGACTTGCCCAAAGAGCTTGACCACCTCCAGGGCACAGCCCCAGTGGATGGTGAGCCCGTAGCCTCCGTGGCCATAGTTGTGGATGACCTGGGAGAGGCAAGAGAGAAGGTGGCCGGGACTGCTCTGGGAGTCTCAGGAGCTCCCTGCAGAGTCCTGAGCAAAGCCCCTTGTCACTAGGGGTCCTCTCAGCACCCTGGAGGGATGGTGGGGCCCTAGGATTGTTTGGGGAGCTAGAAGATGACCCCCTAGCCTCCTCTTGCTTACAAGATGGACCTGCTTCTTGCACTCAGCACAGGAAAAGAAAAATCATCCAGAACTTGAGGCCAGAAGTTTCCCCTTGGCATCCAATTGCTCATAGTTCCTTAAATCACCTTCTTTGTACCCATCCTGCCCTGAAATGTTGGCTGTCCTGTGTTAACAGATGGGCCTTTCACCTCATCTCGGGAGGGAAGACAAGGGACAACACAGGGGGGTGCTCTGGATTGGGTGCTAACTCATCCTGGGGACAGAGGCCAGACCTGCAGGGTCCTAGCCATCAGCAGAGTTCAACTCTGTGTGTTACTCTCTACACTCAACTCACACACAGCTAAGCGAGGAGGTGACGCCTACTGGGGAGCATTGCATTCCTGGTGAGAGCCCAACCACCGCCAACCAGGTCAGCTCCTTGCATTCAGCCCAGGGCAACGCCCACCCTTTCAACAGCCCCACTCCTATCCTGAGAGAGAGGACAGAGAGGACCCCAGAGAGATGATGCGGAAGCCACAAAATGGACATCTGGGAAGTGGTTCTGAAGTCAAATCCAACCACATCCTGTCCTGCCCTCACGAGAGGGCTGATGGATACAAGTGACTTCCCCGCCCACAGCCCTGTTCCAAGGGAGACTCAGTAAGATCGTTTGTGTCATGGGCACAAAGTAGGTGCTTAAGAAGTGCCCGTTTTCCTTCTACTTGACCACAGCCTTTAGCAACTCAAGGTGCTGCCCTCTATGTGACCTTGAGCAGGTCTTTTGCCATCACTGAGCCTCAGTTTCCCCATTTATAGATGAGAGGGCATTATCCACCACCATGCCTCCTGCCAGGGAGCTGTGGGGAGCCCCAGGCCAGGCGTGACTTCCCTGAAAATTCCAGAGCCCTCTTGCGGAGGAGAGTCATTAATTTCCTTGCGGGGAGAGCATACCTCTGTCTTCGAAGGCCCAAAGCGAAGCTGTTCTCTTTCTAACCGAACCTCAGGGCGTACTGGCCTGAAGCCAGATGATTCACCAATAATTTTTGCATCCTAGAAAGAAAAATGTTAGTAATTCATCTCTGGATTTTATTTTTCTGCTGTTATTTTTAGGATGGAGAGTTCACTTTTGGAATCTCATTAAAATCATTGTCACCACCAACAACAACACCGTTCGTTTTACTAAGCACCACGTCACAGTCACCACTTTCATCAGCAACTGACATCATTCCTCTCACTATTCCTCACTCCAGTTCCATCAGCTACCCCACCTTCACCAGCCACCACCAGCCACCATGATAGTATCAAATCACCAACGCCTCTTCCTCATCACCATCCTCAGCATCTTCATCACCATCCATACCCACCATTACTCCCACCCCACCCTCACCACCACCCCATCACCATCACACTAGCAGGCAACTGTGAACACTGAGATTTCTGTAACAACTACATTGACTCCTTTGGAAGACAGAATAAGGCATTTGGGGGATTTTACCTCAAGAGAGAGCAACTCTTAGTCATGGCCAAGGTTTCATCAACCCACAGCAGAAGTCCCCTGTGCATAAGCAAACACTGGTCTATCCCACAGTTTCTTCTAGAGCTAATTTGCCTAATTATCCCAGTGGTGGTATCTTTCCATCCTCAAGTCTCCTAGTGAACACGCTGCCAGGACCCTGTGTAGGGCAATGGTGCCCTCCCCACCTTACCTTCAGTGTGGGCTCCAGGCTACAACAACCCTCCCAGATGGTGTTGTGGTCCTGGATATTGTTCACCTCACTCCAGTTCCCCAGCTGGAAGATGCCTCCGAGAGTTACTGTCTGGATCCTGTACAAAAGTGAGGCGGGTTGTGAATGAAGGAAAATGAAGCCTTTGAAATAACTGAGGGTCATTGTCACCATCACCCTTCATCACCATGTCTGTGTAAATCACAACTGCCACCAACGTGGCCATTCCTGCCAGCAATCCCATCAACACCATGGCAATTGCCCTTGTCATTACTGTCACCGTCACCTGCCATCTCTATCGGCACCATGAACATCGCTGTCAACACTCATCTCGTCTAATGGACAGCCTTGGGACTGGAGTTTAAGAAACTGTATTAAATGCTTGAAAGTTGCCAAGAGAGTAGACCTTAATTGTTCTCACCACACACAAAAAATTATAATCATGTGAGGTGATGTGTTCACTAACCTCATGGGGAGCATTTCACAATCTATACATCTAGCAAATCATCATGTTGTAACATTAAATGCACACAATGTTACATGTCAATTATATCTCAATAAAGCTGGAAAAAATATTGTCATCTCCATCATCAACATCACCTTCCTTCCGTGATGCGGTTAATACAGCATCACCACCACCCTGTTCATCATCTTCACCATCACTCTTCACAGCATCATTGATATTGTTATCTTTTCTATCCTGCTCTTATCAGAAGACAGTCAGCAAGTCATGCCATTAACACTGCCTTCGAGACTGTCATCTCTACCACCCTGTTAACATCATCATTGACAGTGTCATTTCCATCAGCACCAACAACCACCTCCACCCCCAGCCATCACCATCAACACTGCTGTCATCAGCACCACCCCATTAATGTCACCACTATATTATCCTTATCCCAGCCACCACCCCCATCAACTTTGACTTCCCTATCAATAGTCATACTATCTCTCCTGCCACCAGGATAATCATCCATGAACAACATAACCCTCTTCTCCAGCCTCGTCACCTCTACCATTAATATTATCATCACCATCAACCTCACTCACCATACCCACCACCACTCCCATTCATATCATGTCTGGCATCACTGCCATCATGTCCACTACCTTTGTCTACAGCATCACGACCAATGTCACCCAAAACCACATTCAAGATAGAGCCCAAACAAGGGCGGGCCCAGGGATTCAATGGCTCAACTACACTTCAAAAACACTGGAAGAGGGCCTCCCCGGTGGCTCAGCAGTTGAGCGCTGGGTCGTGAAGCTGCCTGCAACCTCTGCAGCACTGGTTCGATCCCTGGCTGCTCCCTGGCCACTGGAGGAGGGTCCCACATGGTGCACAGACCTCTCCTGCCACCCGCTACTCCCCTCAGCAGTGTCCTTCGGTCCTTCTGCCTGCTCTGCTCCCCGCTCTGGCTCTGGTGAATTCTCTCACCCTCCCACGCTTCTGACTGTACCCAGTGCTTGAATAAACAAACAAACAAACAAACAAATAAATCTTAAAAAAAAAAAACAACAACACTGGAAGAAAAGACCTGAAGGGCCTAAGCAAAGGCCCTGGGGCAGGCAGCAAGGGCATACAGAGGCTGAGAGATGTTTACCCCGGGATGATGTATGGGGACCTATAGATGCCTCTCCCTGGGTCATGGGTAAGGATGAAGTGTTTTATCCAAGGAGCATCCACCTGTGGATTGAGAAGAAAGCTGTCAGGAGATTGGATGGATGAAGCCCCCCTACCTGCTTCCCTCTAGGGAACAGTGGCAAGACCCATTCCTCAGCCCTCCCAGGACCCCTCAACCCTAAGTCTGCCCTGACTGTCTGCTCTTGCAGGAAGAGACCTCCGGGTTGAGGCCACCCCTGCTCCTTGAAGCATGGCACAGCCTCACCCCCAGGCCCACAGAATAGCCAACATGCATGGAAATGCACATACACAATAGCCCCAAACTAGAACATACTTGCTCACCTACAGACTTACACAGGCAGACATACACACATATGTGCACAAATAGGTGTGCTTCACACCCAAGCACCCTTAGAGGCGGACTTACAGATGCTGACACACTGTAAGCCAGGTTTCTGCCTTCCATTTCCAATTCCACCACATCATTATTCTGCGGACCTGTGCATGTTGTTGAACGTTCTGTGCCTCAGTTTCCCCATCTTAAGATGGCACTGGTGAGGTAAGGCCCCCATCTCCAAAGGTGGTGGTGAAGATCAAATCCCTTACTACAATGAGATGCCCGGCCTGTGCCTTCACTTAGCAAACACTCCACAAGAGCATTTTATCTGACTATGCTGGCGTATGTAGCTTCCACATAGGTGTAAGAAGAGAGCTACACGTGCTGCACTATTGAGAAGAAGCCCTCAAAGGAAAGGTTTGGGATGATTGATTTGGTCCTTTCTGCTTCATTAACACGTCAGTTCCCTGGAGTCTTGGGTGCTCCTTTAACAGACGGCCCTGACATGTTCTCTGTCCCTGGAGATGCACTAACAGGCATCACCAATCACCCCACTTCTTCACACTCACCTTAATGACCTGCCCCCGGCCTGGCTGCAGCTGGGGGTCTGGCTGCAGGGCCCCTGCCCACACTCCCGTGCAGTTGACAATCACATCGGCGCCTCCTCTCGCCACCTGACGTAACCAACAGGCAGGTTATGGGAGAGGGTGAGAGTCCTCTTTCCCTCCTCCTCCTCCAACTGATGGGGCTGGGGAGGGGGAGAAGACCGGGTGACACACTAAACTGGTATAGTGGGAAATCTGCACGAATATTGTTTATGGCCTGTGAGCTATGAGTTAATTTTCCAGCGCAAGGACACATCTTGGGGGTGGGGTGCGGGGTGCAAGTGCTTTCTGCGGACCAGCCTCAGCACAGTGGGATGAGCCTGAGGCCAGGGGTCCAGGAGGGCGATAAGGAGCTGCAGGGGCTGGACATCATAATCTCCTGGCAGTAGTGAAGGCTGCTTACTGCTGAACTGTCTTTGTTCAACTCACTATAAAAAACTAGCTAGAAATGAAATGGGAAGGCGGTTTCTTTAGGGTATTAACCCCCCTCTTCCAGGTTGCCGGCTGTCTGATTAAAGGACACTTTAAAGATTCAATTCCTGTCTCTACTTTGTTGGCATTCGGTGGTGACAGGTAGCCCGAATTTCTGTCTTCCAGTTACACAACCACAGTTCTTGGCTCCCTGTGGAGCAGTGGGGAGGAGACCCAGGGAGGAATCCATGGGCCTGCCTCCAAAGCTCCCCTCTGCCATTCACCCCTTGTGGGACCTCAAAAATGTCCCTTCCCCTCCTCGTGGCTCAGGCTTCTGGAAGCTTCCTTAGTTATCAAATGGGTAATACCCAATCACAGACTGCCGTGAGGATCCAAATGTGACTCTGGATATAAAAGTATGGAACAGAGTGCTGTGGAAGTGTTGGGAAATTTCTTGGAATCTTCCAGAAGAAATCAGAAAGGGAGCAGAAATAGTGCTCTCCCTCCTTCTCACTCCTTCTACTTTATTTTCTTGCCTTCTGCTCTGCTAGGCATCTGCAGAAGACATGCTGGAACCTCTGAGAGTCCATGGGATGCTCACTAGCTCAAGTATGTAGCCTGGTGGCACCCAAACTCCTGCTAGCCGGTCCCAAGGTCTCCCCACCATAGGGCAGTCATGGGACACACGCCTGCCCACGAACTGTTCACCAGCCGGTGTTGGCCACACTGGGCTGTGAGGGCTGTCAGAGTTCACTGAGTTTCTCAAGCACCGACCTGTCAGTGCTGGAAGCTGTATGTACTGAGTGCCTTCCCCATGCCAAGCACTGTTCTAGGAGCTGCGATTGAGTAAAGTCATGCAACAAAGTTCCCGGTACACAGCTCATGCCTGATGACACAGCTGCTACTCTCATTATTATGCATGGCAGTTATTCTGGAATGAGTCAGCTGAGAGCCTTGACTTTGCAGAAACATTAACCCAGGTGTTGGCAGGAAGTGAGCCAGTGTCTGGTACTTGGGGATGAGTGCGGCCGATACTGCAAGAGGTGGTAAGAGGCAGTGAACTTTCTGACCCGGAACCCTGAGGCTCCGATATAAGTTATTTCCCCTGGTCACAGCGTTCCTACTTCCCCTTTGCTTCTACAACCAACATCGAAGCAGAATGCCTGAGTCCTCACTCTGGGCGCCTGAAAAAGGAGCCCCTACCCCAGCAACAGGAAGCAGAAGCCACCCTTCTGTGCTCTTCCTCCCACATCCCCTTCCACCCCGAAGCTCACCTCCTCAAAAGACTCCACCTTCCGCTGGAAGAGTTTCACCCCCCTTTCAGTTAACCTGGGATCATCAAACACATAAAGAAAAAAAACAAGCAGGAGTCAATTGTCTGTCTTATCTCCCCAGTGGGGGCAGCTCACAAAGAACCTCCCGTGATGACTAGTCCCACAAAATGCTCTTTGAGAAAATGACAGTGTAGTCAAATCTGCTCACAGCACCTCAATGGGGCTACTGGTCCATGGAGTTTCTTTGAGTAACCTGAGGTGGCCAAGCCCCTTGCTGGGCAGGCAGAGATGGGAGTGGGGTCTCGCTGGAGATCAGAAAGTCAGTCAATGACTGACTAGCCCATATATATTGCGTCCTACTAGCCCATATATATTGCATCATATCATCAGAGGGTAAGAGATGCAGCATGGAAGAGGGGCAGGCCGGGTGGGGTGGGGTGGGGGGGAATTCCAAATGCCCCTTTCTCAGAAGCAGGACAAAAGGATGGAGGTGGGCTGGGGACTCCCAACCCTTCCATCTGAAAGCCCCAGAGTAAAAATATCTGTTACTATGAGAAACATCAAAGGAATAGGACTATGCCATCTAAAAAGTGTACCATAATCTCAGGATATTTTATCTATGCGAGGCAGAAAAACTGGGAGCTCTCTTAACTAGAAGAGGCTGAAAAGGAATCATAAGCATCCCATGATTAGGATTAATAAGTCCTTCTCAAACCTGACTGATCATAAGAGAATCACTTGGGAAACTCCTTAAAATCCAACATTCTGAGCCCTGCCCAGAGGTTCTGATTCAGGAGATATAAAGTGGGGTCCTGGAATCTAAACACTCTAGGCCATTTGCTCAAAGGCATTATTCATTCCAGATTTTTTAAAAGTTTTATTCACAGGTGGGGTTTGCCAGTACAGAGGTGAATTCCATAAACAATTATCCACAACCACCCTGTCCCTGGAGGATGCTTCCCTCACAGTGAAGCTGCAATTCTCACCTCGCTGTCAGCCACTGCAGATATCTCCTCCCCTCCAGAATCAGGCTTGTGTTGAACCATCCATAGCTAGCGTCACAGCAGGCAAAATGTCAAAATAAAGAATCAGAATCAGAGCTACATTGGAAGGGGACCAAGTGCAGGTGGGAGTAGTTGCCTACTTTGGGCTTTCAAAGGGTATATCGAGGCTCACTGATTGCAGTACAACAGAAGAGCCATTTCCAGCTTAAGTCAAGGAAGACTTTTCTGTCAGACAAAGCCATCCCTGACACTGGAGGTTGGATGTGCTTTTGTCCAGGAGACTCGGGTCTGGGGCGGGTTGAGGAGAGAACCAGAGACGCATGGGCGGTAGAGGAAAGAATAAATTTGGGATGACACCACTGGACTGACATGTCACAGTGGCTGTGTGACCTGGGGAAGTGACTTGACCTCTTTGAAGCTCAGTTTCCTCATCTGCAAAACAGAATAATGACATGGTGCCTCAGGGCATAAGAGCTGTGGCTCCATATCCCCTCCTCCCTACCCCATATCTCAGCTGGGTGGGTGGCCTCTCTGAAGGAACTGGAACAGAGCAACTGGAGACCACAGTTCTGGGGGCTCTGGCTCTGGCTGGGACAAGGAATTTGGTGCATCCGTCTCCTGCTGCCTTCTGCACTAGTCTGTCTGAAGTGTGAGGCCTCATCCCCTCTGTCACACAGGCCCATTGAGGATGATCAGAGAGGTTAAGTGACTTGTCTAAAGTCACACAGCTAATAAATGGTGCTGAGATTTGAGTCCACACAGTTTGGCTTCAGAGTGGATATAAAGCTTACCTATAATCTGGAAACATGTCCAACTCTCTGGGGGTCAGCTTCCGAAATCCCAGAACTGTGTTCTTCCAGAAAGGGTCCTATGGGGGAAGGAGTGAATAGGGCACAGGAATGGACAAAAGTCAATAATATCATTAATAACACATTTACATAATGTTTACTGTGTTTTAAGCTCTCTTGCAAGCATCTTACTTATACCACCCCATTCAATCTTCACAACCACCCGTTGAGGTAGATTCTTTTCTTAGCGCATTTTTATACCCCCCAGACCCAGGGCCCCAGCTCCTGTCTGTGACAAAGGGTCTCCCCAACGGGACAGACTCTCACTCACCGGAACAGCTTCCCGGAAGAGGTTGTAGCCTGAGACCAGAGCCAGGCCCATGTCTTCAGCCTTGGGAGAATTGATGTGGCCCAGGAGGTAGTCAAAGGTCTGCTGGTTCCAGTGCCTGGAAGCATTCCCCAGACTCTGGTCACCCCAAGTCTCTGTTACCCCAAGTTGAACAAAGAAGTTCTGAGAGTCAACTTGCATGAACCGTGTTCTCTCCTGCAGTACCCCAAGTGCCTACTGGTTTCCCCACACTGCCAGCTTTCCAATATGCCCCCATTAATAGGTTAGATAAGAGGGTGGAACAAAGGATGCTCCCTCTCCATGATTTGGAACCCAGCTTTGGCTTGGGATCACATAGCTAGTTGAGCTTTTTTTTTTTTTTTTTTTAAGATTTATTTATTTATGCATACAAGAACGGGGCTACAGGCCAGAGGTGTGTAAGGGTGGTGGTGAGAGGATTCACCAGAGACAGAGTGGGGAACAGAACAGGAAGACTGACTGAAATACACTGCTGAGGGGAGCAGCAGGAGAGACAGGAGGGGTCTGCTCGCCATATGGGTATCTCCCTGGCCGGGGATCAAACTCATGCTACAGTGGCTGCGGATAGCTTCAAAGGTTGCATCTTAACCCCTTGTGCCACCAGGGAGACCTGCTTGTTGAGTGTAAATGAAAGTCCTGAGTGACTCAGGGGACTAACTTTGGGGACCATAAGCCACAGGGTTTAGGCTCACTCTCTGGCATCACCCCTGTAAACTCGAGCGGGAACTAACCTACATTTCCCAGACTCTCTCGCATGTAGGTGTGGTCATGTGACTATGTTCTAGCCAATGAGTCCTAAATATTCTGCCCACATGTTCCTCCTACACGATGACGAAATCAGAAGGCTTGGTGAAGATGGCAGAGCCTGAGGAGGAAAGAGCCTGGGCCCCTGAACTGACACCCACTGCTCAGGAACATTGGTGTTTTAATTTATGGGCATGAAAATGAAACATCTGCCTGAGCCATTTTTCATTTGTGGCTTTTGTTGTTGAAACAACTGGCAGTTTCTAGATTAACATAAGAAATTTGCAACTTTTGGTAAACCTGAGCTTCCATCCACCCATTGGAAGTATTCACCCCTACATATGGCCTTGACCGTCACCCAGTTTAGGGGAGAAATGGAGAAAAACTCTATTGCCTGGCACATAGTAGGGCTTATTATGTATTAACATTTCTTTACGTCATGCCAGGTCAGAACTTTGACAGTAGCCTGTGCTTGTTGAGTGGGGGAATCCCCTCCGCAGACTCGGTTCCGGGCCACCTTCTGGGGCCCGCTACTCACACCTCCTGTGGGTTACTGGGGTTGGAGAGGTAGGGCTGCCATAGGCCGGCAGCCACGTCGGTGGTAGTGAGCGGGGTAAAGCGGTCTGCGTAGACCTTCAAATCCAGCGGCTGCAGGACTGAGTGGTAGTGATCATAGATGCAGAGAGCGGTGGACAGTCCAATAACCCCTCCTCCAATCACCACCACACGCATCGTGCCAGCCTGCAGGAAAGAAGGATTGAGACATACCATCATCACCATCGTCTCCGTCATCACGAACTCAGTCATCATCGCCACCATTGACTGAGGCTTAAAAAGTGGCCCACACTGCCCAGCCCTTTCTCTGCTTGACTCTGTGGATAACCCTCACCAATGGTAAAACTGAGCTATGAAGAAGCAAAGCCAACAGCCCAAGGTCCCCTAGGTGGTAAGTAATGCAGCTTTCGCTGGGGAGCCTCCCTGGACACCTGTCCTCACGCTGGGAATACAAATCGTCACAGCCAAGAGCCCAGCCAGCTGCAGGCTGGTGGCCTAGTGGTTTGGACCATGAGCTCTGGCTTCCAATCTCAGCTCTGCCACCTACTGGCCATTGACCTTGGACAAGATGCTTCCTGAGACTCAGCTTCTGGAAGATGAACAAAACAACTAATAACTCAGTCGAGGGAGATTTCACAAGATGGCAAGCGAAAAGCACCTACCACAGTGTCTAGTGCAATGGGAGTGATTTGCTGACATTTGTGGGCACCGACTGTGTGCCAGTCCCAGCTCTCAGTGTTTCCCACAGATTATTTCAGCTAAGTCCCTCCATGGTTTTATAGCATTTGGCCCCGTCTCACAGATGAGGAAACTGAGGCTCAGAAAGATGAAGTAACTTACCTGAGCTCACACAGCCAGTAAGTGGCATTTTTTTTTAATTTTTAAAAATTTTTTAAACAATTTTTTTAAAGATTATTTATTTATGCATACAAGAACTGGGGTGTAGGCCAGTGGTATGGGGGGTGAGGGGATTCACCAGAGACAGAGTGGGGAACAGAACAGGCAGATTGACCAAAGTACACTGCTAAGGGGAGAAGCGGGCAGCAGGAGAGGTCTGCACACCATGTGGGTTGCTCCCTGGCTGGTTGCTCCCATGCTGCAGTGGCTGCAGACATCTTCATAGGTTGCGTCTTAACTCCTTGTGCCACCTGGGAGGCCCCAGTAAGTGGAATTTAATTTTCAGTTAAAGTAAACTCACACACACTTATTGCACACCTACTGTGTGCCAAACTGGCAGCCACTGGATGCAGCTGCGAGCATGTCGGATGCCATATCTGCCCTCAGAACTCAGGTCTATGTCTTTTGGGCAACCCCTTAGTACCTGCTTTGGGGTGCCCAGTTGTCTGGGCCCTCAGAGTTTAGAAGGCGTAGAGGCTTTTGACCTTGAAGTTGCTTGGGCCCCACACAGCAGGGAAATATTAAGCCGGTTCCTGCTGAGGCAGAACAAGGGGACACTTTGTGCCCGCAAGGGCCAAATTCAACTTACCCTCTTCTTGACTCACAGCCCTTCTCCCTCCAACCTCGGCTCCTGGCAACTCAGGCCTGTGGCCCTGGACGGAGGACATTCTCAATATGGCCTAGTTTTGCAAAGTGGGGGAAATGGCTCCAGCCCACGAGAACTGGACTCCATTGGGCTTTCAGCAGCCAAGTTGGAGATAGAAGCAAACAACGGAAGGCATCGTTCCTCTGGGTGACTCTCCTTCCAGCCCTGAGCCTGAGCTTGGTTGCTGCCCAGCTGGAGGGTGAGGGGCAGACCCTCTCGGGGACCCCTCTTTTCCCTCCCCATCAGGAAAGACAACTCCCTCATCTGTAAAATAGGGGTAACCCCCATCCCAAGATTAAATGACAGCTGCTAAGATAGTGCTTGGCACAGGGTAGGCCCTCAATACACAGGAGCCACCTGTGTCCCCATGCAACAGTGGGAAGGACGTTGGGAGGAGAGAAGGAGCTAGGAACAAAGGGAGTTAGGCCTGGCTTCCCTTCTGGCTTGCTGTGTGACCTTGGCCAAGTCACTTCCCCTCTCTGGGGCTGCTGACTGCCCCTGCATAATCGCTAGAGTCTGACCACCTTTGTACATTAACAATAAGGAGGCCAGAGTACGAGGCTTTCCTATATTTCCCAAACTCCCTTTAATGAAACCAGGAGGCTGGTGGCATGGAGGCAGGTGGCAGGCACAAGCCCGACTAGGGTCAGAAACACCAGGCTCACAGCCTGGTCCTGCACACACCAGCTGTGACCCTGGACGGGTTTCTCAACTTGCCCAAACAAGCATGACCAGCCTCCCCAGTTTACCCAGGATGGAGGGGGTTCCCAGGACATGGACTTTGAGAGCTACTGCTGCGATAGTGCTGGGTAAGCTGGGGTGAATTGGTCGTTCTAGCTGAGCTTCAGTTTCCTGTCCTGTAAGCTTTTAAGGGCTAATAATGCTCCCGTAATATTGTCTCCCTACCAGGATATCAGCTCCAGAAGGGCTGGAGTTTGTCCAGTGCTCTCTCCCCGGAGCCTAAAATAGTCAATGAATGAGTGAATGAATGAATGAATGAGTTGAGTTCTTTAGAGGATCAAAAAAGAAAATTCCCATGGAGAGCTCAAGGGCTCATAATAAAGGACAGCGATGATGACCACTGCCCCGGTGCACGATGAGGGAGCTGAGGCTGGAGAGGAGCGAGGGAAATGATCAGAACACGAGGTACAGGAAGGGTTGTGAGCCCAGCTCTGCTTTTGCCAGGGCCCACTTTTTCCATTTTCCTGTCACCTAGAAAACCAGCAAAGGGTTGAGTTGGGGTGGGTGGCAGGGGAAGAGCTGCTTATATAATAGAAATGCGTGCGAGAGAGAAGATGAGTGTTTGAAAGCCCTTCAGGGTTTCTGGGCAGAGAGGACGCTCTTCAGCCACAGCCGTCTCTGCGAGCAAGGCTGGGAGGGATGGCAAAGTCTCTGCGAGCAGAGGCCAGGAGCCCAAGGGAAGAGCATAAGGGGGCCCCCAAGCAAGAGCTGGTTCCCACTGGCCAAAAAAAAAGAGGAACTAGTAACCGCACAGAGCTCAGTTTCTCCAGCGTGTGAAACTTGAAAGATGAGCTAGATGGCTTCAGGCAGACAGGAAAACAGGTCCAGGGAAGCAGAGTTGCTCATCCAAAATCTTGGGGTTTGGTTTCTGGGGCCTTGGGGTTAAAAGTTTCTGTGAGTGGCAAGAGTCCAGAAACAAAACTGGTAAATATGGAGGTAACAAGACTAGAAGAGCAGCTGCTGGTTTCTCACCACTGGTCCGCGTCAGCCGTCAGCCGTTGGTGTTGGGAACGTTCCCTGCGATATCTACTTAATCCACCACCCCTCGGGGCTATCGTCATGCCCATTTTATGGATGAAGCAACCAAGGCTCAGACCCCTCACTAGTGAGCAGCAGCCTTGACCGGCCTGACTTGCAAGTTCATGAGCTAAAATGTCACACTATTCCAGTTGGTCACACAATTTGACAAGCGGCGGATCAGGCAGGTGGGAAGAAGCAGTCAGTGTCTCAGGCCCATTTGACTTGAAAAAAGTCAAGTCTAACTTTGGTAGGAATTGAAATGCAAAGGAAAGGACATGTCCTACGTCAACTGTCTTAATAAATACACGAATCAAATTGATGGTGATTGTAGCAACTGTGGGGTGTGTGTGTGTGTGTGTGTGTGTGTGTGTGTGTGTGAATATAAATGTCTGAGGTTCTTCTTAGAAGCAGGAGCCAGACCCTATGGTCTGACAGATGCAGCCTTGTATAAAATCACGCACGCGCGTGGGTAATAAACTTCTGGGCTCGCAGACACACCCTTGAGTTATGGAACCAGCCATGTTCCTGTGGCTGTTGGTGTTTTTAGTAGCATTGTTGTTCTCCTGTGTTTTATGCCATTCCTTCAACTAAGCCTGCTTGGAGAGTGCACCCAGGAACATGCAAATGGCTGAGGTTATTACCTTGGGATGTGTGGGTGCATGCGGGTGTGTGTGGTGTGTGCATGTGTGCGTGCGTGAGTGCATGCGTGTGTGTGTGTACTGTGGCTGTCTGCCTCTTGTGGGATACATGTAGATGTGGTGTAAAATCCTCTCACTTAATCCTTTCAGCTGCCCTCCAAGGTTGTACAGATGTGGGACTAAGGCTCAGGGAAGGGAAGTCACTCTCCTAAGCCACGCAGCCAGGGTGGGATGACATTCTGGCTGACCCAGTTCTATCGGTGCTTTCTGCATTGCCTGGTGAAACTTTTCAGCCTGTGACAAGTTGCACCTGACTTTCTGTCTGTCTCTCAGCTTAGCATTTGTTTGCTTATACCCTCTCTTGTTCCTTGGAGGGTATTTGCAACAACTTATGTCTATGATTGCTACAGGCACAAGGAATGCGAATGTCTTGTTCTAAAAAAAAAATCCTCAAGGGGATGGAGTTCTGATAAGCATAATCAGCCTCCAGTTTACACCATATGGCTGCTTCTTATGAAGCTGATATTTTCAGAGTTTATCTTTAAAATGGAGCAGATTCTATAAATGCTTGACAAGTCAGCTACCAGCTCCCTGCCCCCCCAACAATAACAACTACCATTTATTGATTACTTGCTATGAGCCCAGTTCTGTGCTAAGTACTTGACATTCATTACCTCTTTCAATCCTCAGATTTACCCTGCAAGAGGTGAGCTAGGACCCTCGTCTTCCATAAGAGAAGACGGGCTTGGAGAGGTTGAAGGCGCTGACTTAGAGGGCTGCCGGACTCCTGGCTGTCACCTGCCTCCAGCTCTAAGGTGGAACTTTCTCTGTTGACTCAGAGAGACCTTGCATTCTGTTGCCCCCACCTCCAACCCCAGCTCGAAGGGGTGTGTGCCACTCACCTGACCCTGGAGTGCCAAACTTCGTAAGGCAAGCGGCAGCTACAGTGCACACCGGGTCCTAGCCCTGAGGGGAGGCTTCTGATTCTGGAGGACCTGTCCTCAGCCCTCTGCCCACCAGCCAGGGCTGGAACTCAGGGTCAAAGTCCGGAGTTATGGACAGGACACAGCGAGAGGTGGGGCTGGGCAGTGAGCTGCTCCCAGGAGCTGGACCCCAGCCAAGTCTCCAGACCTCCCTCCCCTTGCCCTGGTCCCTGAAAAGTTGCCTGACTTTTCTGGCGGATCCCAAGCACCCGTGGACAGGCCTCAGGGAAAGGAGGGAGGGAGGGAGGGCAGGGGCTCTTGGAGGGCTGATGGGCACAAGGAGGGCTGTCTCCAGGGCCAGCTGGAGACAATCCTCTTTCTTCCCTCTTCTGGCTGCCATCCTGGGGGAGGGGAGGGATGTTCCCTGGGCTGCTGTGGGCCTGGCCTGCGGGGTGGGGGTGGCCAGCCTGGCAGTCCCTGAGGAGAAGCCAGAGGTACAGAACAGGGGCTCCAGGGCCAAACAGCCAGTCCAGTGCCATTCTGGGACGCCGGGTGAACAAGGCCAAGGACAGACTCAAGGCAACGCCTGTTTGGGCTATGAGGATGCGTGGTCCTTTGCTTTCGTATCCCAGAGACACAAGCGGCAGGACTCCAGGTCCTTCTGCTGCCAGGGGTAGACCTGAAACTGTGCTTATTAGAGCCCAGTATCATTAGGGCTTTGCTTTGGATGGGGAGACTGAGGCCCAGAGAGCTGGACCAACTAGCCCAGGGTAAGACAGCCTTTACATCAATCAACTTTAAGGTCTAGCCTCCTCCTCCCCCACCTTAGCATCATCAAATAAAAAAAAAATGAAGTTAAAATAAGATGAAGGCAAAAACTTAGTGCTTATACTTTCTTTAACTATAAAAAAAAAAAGATAGGGTAATCTCCTTTTACTCTATATACTTCCATTTTGTTTGATTTTTTTTTTTTTTTTTTTTTTACAATAGTCACGTACCATTTTCATGTCCCTTTGGAAAATTTCTTGCACCTCTAGTTCATCATGGGAACACTTAAAGGTTAACAAAAGTTAATCAGATACCTTTGTGCACCCCTCACCCATCCTGTCAATGATTTGTGTTTTGTGAACACAAATACACCAAATGCCAGTTCTAAATACTTTACCTTGGATTATCTCATTTAATTTTTTCACAGCGCTATAAGGTAGATGCTCACTTTATAACTGAAATTCAAAAACTTGATTCTAGTGTCCCACTAATGTTGAATATATACCTAACCTAAAACCCAAGAGCCCTACCCTTATATATATTTCCAAGAGAAATAACAACACATATCAATTAAAAGGTTTATATAAGAACATTCATAACCTTGACCAAGAAACAAGCTAACTACAGAACGTACAAACAAGTTGTAGGATTTTCATAAAATTTCCACTGTGGAATATTATACAGCAGTGAAAAGGACAGATATTGCTGTACATAACAACCTGGATGAATTCCACAGTCATTATATTGAGCAGAAGAAGTCAGAAATGAAAGAGTCCATACTGTAGTCTTTCATTTATATGAAATTCAAGAACAGGCAAAACTAATCAACCATGATAGAGAATGTAGGACGTGACTACAGTCATCTGTCACTTAATGATGGGGATACTTTCTAGAAATGTGACACTAGGCAATGACTTCATTGTGCTGTTACTGTCATAGAGTATAACTACACAAATCTAGATGGTCCACCTCACTACACACCTAGGCTAGAAGGTATAGTGTATTGGGTCCCCTATCGTATATGTGGTTCATTGTTGACCGAAGCATTGCTGAGTGGTACCTGATCGTACCTCTGGGGAGGCACTGACTGGGAAGCAAGAGATGCTGGAAACATTGCTGTTAATCTGCATGGAGATTACGGGAGGGCATCCGTGAAAGAACTTCCATCAAGCTGCATATAAAAGTGAGATTAATGTGCTTGGCACAATTAGAGAGTGGCAGACGAGGGGGTGGAAATAAAGCAGGGGAGGAATGAAGAGTGGGAGAGAGAAAAATGAAGTAATTTGTCAACAGTAACTGTCTACATGCAGAAGCCCAAATGTGAATCCAGGTTAGGGTTGCCACATATAGTAAATAAAACCATTTAAGAGCAGGTCAAAACCAATTGATGGTGACAGAGGACACCCTATCTTTTATGCAGAATCCCTCACCATGGCCAGAGCTGAAATGCTTAACTACAGAGCTTACCAGAGAGGTGAGAAGCGGCTCAGGCACCAGGGATGCCGGGCACTGCAAGACTAGAGGGGTTGTGTCTCTTGCAAGTCCTGTGCTGTGCGCAGGAAGCATATTCAGTGTTATTATTTAATTTGGGGAAATGAAGTGGGGAGACACCTTTGGTTTTCATGATACAAACTACAAAAGAGGGAAGTCCTGCAGGATTTTTGGCTATTGGAATAAGAAGAAGGTATTTCCTGGGAGGGATGAAGACTTTGATCTTTATCAGAGAGGGGCGTCAGCTTAAAAAAGAAACAAAAAAGAAAAAGTTGAGGAAAATGGATCTGGTTGAATGAGTCCATTTTACAGTTGGATAAATTGAGGTCCAAGGAGCCAAAGGGACATGCTTCAGGGGTAATGGGCTCATTCTGGTCTGGTGATGACAAGGCCATTAAGAAACCTCTCTGAAATCCAAAACTCACTGATCAGCATGCTAAAAGGCCCTGAAGAACCTTTGGAAGCAATTTCTGTTTATTTGGCAGGAGTTGTAGGAGTTGAAGATCCTTTTGATGCACTGACTGGTTGATAAACAACATGGCCTCTTAGCTGCTCTGAAGTACACTCAGGCCAGGGCACAAGGGTCATTTACCTGAAAATTCTCTGCAGGAAGCAGAACTGGGTGAGGTGGGGGCATCACGTGGTATTATAGAATAACAGTTAACCCCCCATACTCTCTCTGATGAAATTTACTCTATCATTACTCTTCTAAGTATTGAAGTAAGCATACCCCCTGTGATTATACATACAACACAGAAGGTATAAAGAAGAAAGCACTAATCACCTGTAGCTAATTCCACCTCCTAATATCAATAGGGGCCATTGATATTTTTGAGTGTATATCCCCAATATTAACAGAAACACACCCAGGCGACAGAAATGGGCAGGTCTTCTCCCTTCTGTTCCCGTGTCATACATGGGGAGTACAGCACCACAGAACAGCTGCAGCCAGACACACAGGACACCTTGTCCCCCAGGTGGAATGATTTTTCAAGACAGTCCCTATGGGGGCTGTCCCTGTCATTTTCTGATATGACAAACAAATATCCAGCGAGTGTTTCTTGGCACACTTGTCTAGTTATTCCCTTGGGTACAATTTCTAAAAATGGAAATCTCTGTGCCAGAGAGTTCACACATTTTAAATGTAGATCCACACTTCAGATGGCCTGCCAGAATGACTCTCACCAATGACAAATTGAAGGGGGTTGTCTGCCCTCAGGTACTTGCACCTTCCTAAGAGAGCCTTCTTAAAATCTGCAAATGCACGATGCATGCGTGCACACACTCACACACACCTTACCCTAATGCCAGCTCTGTTAATGAGACTACAATTTTTTTCAGATAGTGATGGACCTTTGGGTTTCTTTTCTTATAAAGTGCCTTTTTTTGCCCATCATTTTGTTGCAAATATTTCCCCTAATTTGTTATATGACATTTTCAAAATATTTTTGCCATCAACTCTACTCCTTTTTTTCTCCCTTTAGGATTTCTGCCATTAATGTCATGTTTAGACATCTTGCTCCCCACCAATACCACCTCATGTTATAAAATACAAAGACTTTCTAGAGCCTTTGAGCCTTTTTTTTTTTACATTTAAATATTTGATTCATCTGGGATTAATTTTGGAGAATAAAAGGCAGGGTAGGGACCCAACTTTACTCACGAGCCAATGGCACCAAAACTCTTGGTTGAGTCACATTTTCTCTACCAATTTTGACCTGCTTTTATCATTCACTACACTTTCCTGTATTTCGAGTATATTCCTTGGCTCTTCACTGCACCCCTTTGATGTGTTCATGGCTTTCTAAGCCAGTGCCCATTCCATTTTCATTTCTGTAGCTTTGTCATGTGTTTTAATATCTGGTAAAATAGATCTGTTCTCCTCACTCTACTTTTTTTTTTCTTTTTTGCCTGACTCTTCTCCTGTAGTTACCATTCTGGACAGGTTAGTTATTAAGGTATGAATCCATGGACTCTGGATTCAAGCACACTGGGTCAGTACCCCAGCTTTGCCCCTCTTCCTGTGTGGTCTTGGGCTGCTACTTAAGGAAGCTAGACTGTAATCAAGGCCATGTTGCAGGAGGTCCAAGAGCACACACTTTACTGTCAACCCCAGGTCTCCTCTTCAAGGTCCCCAGATTTTCAAACAAGTCACCCCTTATATGTGTAGTTGGGGAGAGGGTAATAACAATTCCTGACTATTGGAAACATTAAATAGTGAGGTACTTTCTTCTATTATGGAATATATGAAATGGTGATTGTTACAGGACACAGTGCCCAGAAGGTGCCTAATAAATGCTGGTTTGTTCAGTTATCTCTTATCAAGACCCCTCACACCCCCAAAATTTAGGTTGGGATTTTCAGTAGAATTGCAAGGGTTAATGTGTTGCCTGTGGACACACAGCAAGTGGCAGTGGCAGAGTCAAGCTAGCCCAGGTCCAGTGAGTATAATCACTGGAGCAGGGAGGAGCGGTCTGGAGAGGCAGAGCCTTCCGACTTCCCAGAAACAAGAACCAGATTAGATCAGAGGGTAAGTAGAGGAAGGGAGACTCTGGCCAACTCCGCACAGGGGTGAGGAGCTCCCAGACCTGGCTGCTGGTGCCCATCAACCAGTACAGTAAGCTACCTTGGCAGGAGTTCCTGGATACCAGTGATTTGCCAAGGCTTTGAGTCCTTAGAACCTCCATACCCTGAAAATGGTGTTCCAAACTATTGCCCCCCATCTAAGCTAGGAAGAGTGATGATCTATGCATAGCCCCTGGGGTCTAATCCGAGCTTTGCTTTCAGCCTCAGCTCCTGCATCCAAAGCAATGATAACATTAGTTATTCATTTCTTAGAGCTGCTATAACCAAGGGCCACAAACTGTGTGGTTTGAAGAACAGAAATGTGTTGCCTCACAGTTCTGGAGGTCAGAAATCCCAAAACAACCTATTGGTAAGTCCTCCCTTTGGGGGTCTGAGGATCTGGTGCATGCTTCTCTCCCAGTTTCTGGCAACTTTGGACATTTCTGGCTTGTGGCAGTGTGGTGGCTTCCCTGTGTCTCTGTCTCTGGGTCCAAATTTCCCCTTTCTGTAAGGACATAGTCATGTTGGACTAGGCCCCTCCCTCATGACGTCATATCAGTATGCTCATCTGCCCAGACCTATATCCAAATAAGGTCATATGCACAGGTCCTGGGCTTAGGACACAACATCTTCAGTGGGGACCACAATCAGTTACACTTGGTGACATTAAAGATCAGGACAGCACACAATGCCTCTCAGAAGCACTATGACATCCCAGCCTCACAACCAACCAGCTGATAAGCACAACCAGTCCTGCCCCTGGGTAAACAACACAGAGTAAGGAAGTGAGCTTGAAAAAAAGGAAGAGGCTGGCCAGGAGCCCCACCCCTTGAACCAGCAGCAGGGTCTCCATGCGTTCCTGGTGGGGTTGTCATGGTGATTCCTCTACTCAAAAGTCCCCTTGGCCTCCCTGGTGGTGCAGCAGGTTGAGCGCCACCTATGAAGCTGTCCGCAGCCTCTGCAGGATGGGTTCGATTCCCAGGCACCAGGGAGAAACCCACATGACGCGGCAGACCTCTCCTGCCTCGCCCATTGCTCCCCTCAGCAGTGTCTTCAGTCTGTCTGCCTGTTCTGCTCCCCGCTCTGTCTCTGGTGAATCTTCTCACCCTCCTGCGCCTCCGACTGTACTCCAGCTCTTGTATAAATAAATCTTTTTTTAAAAAAGTCCCCTTGTCCAGAGGTTCCCCTCACCCTATGTGTCAATAGCCCCTTCCAGTCCCTATACCTTTACCTTTGTTTTCTCTCAATCTTTTTAAAGATTTTGTTATTTATTTATGCATACAAGAATTGGGGTACAGGCCAGAGATGCTGGAGGGAGGGTGAGAGAATTCACCAGAGACAAAGTGGGGAGCAGAACAGGTAGATTGACTGAGATACACTGCTGAGGGGAGCAGCGGGTGAGACAGGAGAGGTCTGCTGCGCCATGTGGGTTGCTCCCTGGCTGGGGATCGGACTCATGCTGCAGTGGCTGCAGATAGCTTCATAGTGCTGAGACTTAACTCCATAGTGCTGAGACTTAACCCCTTGTGCCACCAGGGAGGCCCCCTCTCAAGTTTTTTTCAAAGCTACCGAATGCATTTCATTTATTCGATACTTACTGTGCTTGTCTAGGAACTTCACCTGTATTAATCCATTGAAATACCACATATTCAGCATATACTAAATATATTTATTTGTATGTTGTTTGGCTCTGCCCCCCACTTGCTACAGTGGCTCTGTTTTGTTCATGATGGACCCCAAATTCCTAGACTAGTATCCAGCAAAACGTTTGTGAAATGAGGTGAGTGAATGAGAAAATAATACAATGTCCCAGCAGTGTCTGGCACGTACTATGCATTGTTATGGTCTATTTCACAGTATATGTTAGATCAGTCTTTACATTCACCTTTCATAGCTGCTGTAATAAATTACCAGAATTTCAGTGGCTGAAAAGAACAGAAATTTATCCTCTGGTAGTTCTACAGGCGAGAAGTTCTAAAATGAAGGTGTCATCTAGGTTGTGTTCTTTCTGGAGGCTCTGAGGGAAGAATTCAGTGTCTAGCTTCTTCCTGCTTCTAGAGGCTGCCTCCATACTTTGCCTTGTGGCTGCTTCTTTCCATCACTCCAAACCCTGGCTTCCACTGCCATATCTCTTACTCCTCAGGCCTTCCT